TGCATGAAAATGTTGTCTGAATTTTTGCCTTTTGATCCCCCAAGTTCCCTTTGTTGCACTGAGGCCCAATTATATTTTAATTTTTTGCAATTGAGTCCTAAAGAACTTGCAATCTGAATCATGACTTGGCCTTTTCATTACTCTTGAACCTTCGAAGTGCTTAAATGTTCTAGTTGGACTCATATGACTGATTAAATGTTTGCAACCGAATCCCTTTTTACATGATAACTTGCCTTGACATGTCTTCATGTGAATGGTGGATAATTTTCAATGGTTTTCTAGGATAAAATCATGAAGGCTTAATAATTTGGAGGAATTCATAGTCTTGGTTTCATTTGATTCAGTCTTTCTTAGATAATTTTGTTATTTAATCATAACAAATAATTTCTGTGAATAGTTTTTTCTCTTTTTATGATTTTTTTTTTTTTTTTGCATTTGATTGTGATGGATTCCCCCTTAAGCACTTCAATTTAGCACTCCACTTTAGATTCTTGAGACCTTTTATTTGAGATCGAGTTTTGCTTGCACGTGCATGATCTATTCCATATTTGATTTTCGTTTCGTGTTTAATTTCCACTTTTGTGTTTAATGGTTGTTTCATGTGATTATTTCATAATTAAAGTGGTACCTTGACCCATTTATTGTTTTGGAGAGTAAATTAGTAGTTTCACCTCATCAGGGCATCGACTCAAGGGAGGTATATCTAATCCTTTATTCCTTACTTTATTTGACTCTACGTGCTCTTATGTGTTATGTGTGAATATGCATGCTTTAAGTCGCTTTCCATTTCATGTTTAATTGCCTATTTCGCTTTCTTTTTATTTCATTTTTCTTAATTTGCAAGTCATTTGAAGGCACTTGAATGCCAAGTTGTAATAGCTAGGTTATTATTATTTTTTTATTTTATTCCGTTCCCCCTCCTAGATTGTAGTAGGCCTTCTTCCCCTCAAAATGTAATAGTTAGGGCCTTAATTACCTTATGTATCTTGCATGTCTATGTGCTATATGTTTAATCGCTTTCTTAGGTTTCGGCATCTAGATATGCATGCTTATGTGTTATGTGAATTACGTGCTCACATGTTTACTTTCTTTAATTACGCCTATTTACTTGTATATGGTGAATGCAAATGGACGTCACCTCACTAGTCCAATGCTAGTGGGAAATTCTAGACATGGGCTAGTCCAACGCTAGACCCTTAGGGACCCCTTCGCTAGATCATGTTTGTATGATTACATTACACTTCATGCATATTTTTCCATTTTAGGATTCTTATCATTTTCACATACTAACTCCCCTAATAGAATATCCCCTTACCCCTATGTATATATAACATTTAGATTTGCATCACATTTAGGAAAGTAGGGGGTAGATTAGTGCATTTTGCCTGATTAGACTAGGGAAACCCCTTGAATATGGGATATAGACGAGTGTGGCTTTTTCTAAGCCTTAGCACGCTTGTATTCCCTCTATCAAAGGAAAAATTGAGTCACGATTTAGGTCTCCCCGTGCCCAATATGCATGCATTCCCTAGGCTCATGCATTCTAAATCCACTCTATCATTACACTTTCACTTTCACTCCCATTTGCACACGTACACCTTTTTTATCCCTTCACTTGCACACGAACACTTGTAAATACATTTGCACACCTCCACTTACATCCTATTTTTTTTATTATTTTTTCTCTTACTTCACACAAACTCACGTTTTCACATAGCATGCATTCATTTCACTCACTTTTACGTCATTTAGGACTGTGTGACCTCTCCAAAGGGTCATTATTGGGCTTCACAATTAATATGATTGGCACCACTCAACCTTTGAAGAGAATTTTTCCCAATACCCCTAGGTCTAGGATTTGCATTCATGTAGTACATCCAAATGTAATAAATTCTTTGGTTAAAACGAGAAAATCTTTGATTAAATCACGCAACTAGCCTTGGCTAGGTCAAAGGGGTGCCTTGGATTGTATCTTTGCCTTCCCCTTCGTCAAATGTGGCTCCCGAACCTTTTTCGTTGGTTTACGTAGATTAGGAGTCGTTTAAAAGGGGTTTCTTACTACTTTTTCCTATTTTTCTTTAAAAATTCATTTTTAGGTGACTTGGTACACCTTAACTCATTACCAAGTGGCGACTCCGATTTCTTTATTTCAAAAAAACCCTTTTTAAACTATAATTTTGGGTCAAATCGTCGCATTCTCAAAACCCCCATTGAGGCCCACTTTTCTTTTAAATCAAAATTCGTTTTCCAATCAAAAAATCGAATCAAAAATACATTTTTTAACCATTTTATTTTATTTATTCAAAAAATGGGGCGCGACAGTTTCATTTCGACAACCGAAGCAAGAGCATGCTGAAGTTGGTAGTGGACTCTCGTTCATCAATAAAGGAGTGGAAACGAAATTTTGTATTCGTCCCCGTCGAGGACTTCCCTAAGAGTTTCTGGTAGAGGCTGCCTACCTCAGCCAAGGATCCTTCCTCAGGTTAGCATGAAGAGGAGAGTTTTTGCAAACTTCTCGGATCGGATCTCAGGATCAATAATTAGGCATATCCCGAAACGGCTCTTATGGACGGCGGGATCGGCCGAACTCTAATCAAATCGGACCGTCCTCTCCATTTCTCTACTCGACTCGAAAAATATTATATTCTTCAATTCATTATTTTATTTTTTCTTTCCCTTGATTCTAAGTAGTAATCCTTTTCCTTTTGCAGTGGTGAGAGTTTCGGACCTTATCACCTCGGGCACAGCTACAGTGGCCAAGAACTCACAAAAGTGGAGAGCTCCTGTTCAGATATCGGGAGCACAGAAGAAAAAAGGTACCTCGGGTGCCATAGCCAGCACACCAGTAACAGTCGTCCCCAATGGCACCTCGCGGATTTCTACAATTTCCGAAGGAGTGGCTACCCGAGGTGAAAGAGTGGCTACTCGAGGTGTAACAATTACCGCTCCTCAGCCGGGCCGGAATAAGCAGTTTCAAACTACCAAGGTGCAAGTCACGGGGTCATCCCTTTGGAACCAGTATCTCGTGTCACCCCAACCCGCTGGAGAAGACAAGAAGCATCTCGGGTGGCGCTGGTGTCCGGAGTGGGATATCAGTATCAATGACTGATGCAAGGACCCTAAGGTGGCCCATCATCTTTTGGTCCACTCCAGTCTGCCCCGGGACCATGCCTTTGCCACAAGGTTCAATTCTGACAAACTGATGCAAAGTGTTTCAATTGCTTGGGCTTCTACTTCGGCATTTTTCTCCGAGGTGATGTAAAGGTACACCAATATGGTTGAGAATCAGCCCTCAACCGAACTTTTAGATAGTGTTTCTGCTGAAAAATAGTTGAAGTTGGCCGAGACAAAAAGAGATCAGGCCCTCAAGCAAAGAGACATCGCGGTGGCCGAGATGGAGCAAGTTGAGACCACGATGCACTCCTTGAAAACTGCCTTGAAAAAAGAGAAGAACCGATGTCTTAAAGAGGAGCAGTCTTCAAATGAGGCTATTGACAAGGTTGGGAGCTTGGCTGTGGAGGCTTTCCGCACCTCCGAGGCCCTTACGCGTGATCTTGGCGAATTGACCCTGTCGAGTTTCATGTTTGGCTATACCTCAGCTGTCCAAGATGCTGCTCCCCATCTCACCTCAGAACAATTGGACTTGCTCAAAGATAAGAACAACTACAATGAAGATGCCAAGGAGTTATGTGACCGCATGGCTGAGGGTACCCAGGTCGGGAAGAACCTGACTAAAGTGCGGGAGGAATTCAACTGCAAGATGGCCGATTTCGAGTTGAATCCAGAGGGTAGCGAGCTCAGCGACGGGGCAGTAGGAGAGACCGGCGCAGGAGAGGGTTCAGCCGAGGCGTGGGGCTCTTATAAGAGCCTTCAACCTCGGCATTTTGCACTTGGAATTTTTCTACTCTTGTAATGGTTATATTTTCAATGAAGTCACTTCTTCTGTTCTTATTTCTGCTTCTTCTTCCACTTATTCTTCCACCTCTACTTGTCCTCTTATTTTCTTTAACAACACGAAATAGTGATGCTAAGAAAATAACTAGGTAAACAGAAGATACATCACAAGTAGTCCGGAGTGGAACATAGATATTTTAAAGATAATACAATTTAAGATTCTCGGCATGCCAAGTTCAGAGTACCAGAGTACCATCTCGGTAAGCTAACATACAATAGCCATTCTGGTTGGCCTCAACTACTCAATATGGCCCCTCCCACTTCGGAATTAATTTGTCCTAGGGCTCTGATCGACTGACTGAATTCTTGCGTAGGACAAGGTCTCCCGAGCTAAACCGAAGGTATCTGACTCGAACATTATAGTAGCGAGGTAGCATTCTCTTGTAGCGCAGACATCGCTGCTTACTTCAGCTATGCCTGCTAGCGTGAAAATTTTGAAACTTAAGTGGTACGTTGAGTACACAAGCCGCAACGCATTCAAGGTGGGTCGCCCCATAAGCAGATTATACGGGGAATCAACTTTGATCACAACAAAATTGATAGGGACGGTTCGGCACCGAGAGTGCTGTCCGACTGTCACCGTCAGCGTAATCATCCCTTCCGAGTGGACAACGTGTCCCCTGAACCCCACTAGAAGAGTCTTCACGGGTATGAGTAGATCTCTGGTCAACTTCAGACTTTCAAAAGTCCGGTAGTATATGACGTCTACCGAACTTCCGAGGTCAACATACACCTTTTTCACTCTATAGTTATTGGTCAATAATTCAATTACCAAGACCTCGTGACTACTTGAAGCGGTTGGGACAGGATCACTTGGACCATATGTGTTTGTCTCAGTAAGACGGGAGCTCGCCTCAACATGGTCTGGATTAGCTTGTCAATAGGTCCTTTTACAGGAGTTTTGACTATCTCCTCCTGTCGGACCCCGATTATGGTGTTGATGATCCCGACTATGTTTGACCCATAACCAGGGGATCCATCTCGAGGAGGTCTTCTCGTCTTCCTAAGATCTTCAAAAGGTCGGCAACTGCTCCTGGACCACCTTCTCAGCGGGACTCGCCTCGGTTATTTTCTCGACAGGACTCTCCTTGACAGTCTTGGCAGGTGTCACTCCTCTGGCATTCTCCATCACTACGAACAAACTGCTTCAGGTACCCCCGCTTGATTAAGTCCTCAATATCTTTCTTTAAATTGTTGCAATCTTCAGTCTCATTCCCGATATCTCGATGATAAGCACAACAAAGGTTGAAATTCCTCTTTTCCTTCTTTCCGACCATCCTTGGGGGAGAACGCCTGAGGGGGTTCTGCTCCATGACAGACAGGATATAAGATCGGTTGGTTTTTAACGGAATGAGTTCAGAATCAGGGACAGACAACTTTCTCTTGGCAGTTCTATCGAATACACTTCGGCGATCTCGGTTAGGACTTTGGAATCTGCCAGCGGTGCTAGCCTCACCTCGGCTTGATTCTTTTTTCCTTCGGGAATCAGTTCTCGAGGGAGTTACCTGAGCTTCTCTTTTCATGCAGTTTAGGTCCTCGGGTTGTATGCTTTTTTTGACCTTTTGCCAGAACTCTCGAAGTGTACGAGGGAATTTCTTATGTGCCCCGGTGTTGAACACTCCGGCGGTGAGCCTGTTGGTGAAGGCAGCTATAGTTACCTGCTCCTTGGGATCAAGTATTTGCACGTTTTTATCTTGAAATCTCTGCACATAAGTACGGAGGGACTCCCCCGAATTCTGCTGTATATTTAGCAAGTAAGCCGAGGTCTTTATCGTCGGCCTGGAAGATATAAATCGATGGAGGAATTTGTCCACCAACTCTCCCAGGATGGAGATGCTCCTAGGTTCTAGACCCCAGAAATATTTTCGAGTAGTCCCTTGCAGAAATACTGAAAACGTCCTACAAATAATTGGGTCGGAAATACAGTATAATCGGAAGGCCGAGATGAACACGTGAATGTGATACTCAGGGTCACATCGGCCATCATAAGATGGTATGACGGGTAATTTGAAGTTTGAGAGAAGCCTCTCCTCGTTGATGTCGTCCGTGAAAGGTGGAGCCCTCATATAATCCATTTCTAATCTCCTCAGGAGCCGAGGATCTTCCTCAACTCGTTTTCCTATCAAACCTCATGAAAGAGCCTTGGAGATGGAGGCTATTCTAGAAGTAGCCTTAGATAAAGCTCGTTTCGGGGGTATTTCTAAGGGAATGTCTCCCATCAGATTCTTCCTTGGATGGGATCTCAGGGGATTCTTCTGATCTTCTCTTGGAGGATTCGGCCTTTTGCTTGCCTTATCTCTTGAGATATCTTTCCAACTCCTCAAAGATGATAGGGTTCTTAGCCACGAACTCAGCCATTTGGGACATGGCTTCTCCGTTAGTGGGTTGAGTTTCAGAAGACCCCTGTTCTTCAGAAGCATTTTCTTGCTGGGCTGTAGCACTGGGCGCAGCCCTAATGGTGAGAACCTTCCTGTCCCTAAAATGTGTGGGTTTCATTCTTTGATGTCTTCGAGTTCCCACAGATAGCGCCAATTAAAGAAGTAATTTTCGGATTCAACAGGAGGTACCTAGGCGACGGAGTAATTCTCCGGAAGTGGGTACGGTTTCACGGAAGTCACCTACTCAAATTACCAGACGTGAGGTAAAATCCCCTAGTTTACCTTCAACGATCTAGTTAGTCTAGATTAAGAGGAAAGTTGTAAGAGAGTTTTTAGAGTATAGTGCTTACAGTGTATCTCCTTAGTCTTTGAGTGAGATTTCTGTATTTATAGGAAATAATTGGGAAGGAATGACGATTGGGTTCAACTTCCTAAGACTTGACAAACTGACGTGTCAGTCTGTCTTGATGGGTCTATCAGACACGCTTTATCAGACGTCTTGTTCCCCTGCAAGTGTCAGTCTGTGACCTGATTTCAGCCGTCCCATTAGCCACAGTGGCACCTCATAGTGGCCACCACGATAGCCGAGGTGAACGGGACAAATACTAGAACCTCAAGAATATTTCACCTCGGATCGGCCTAAAGGCCGAGGTGGAGTTCGGGGAGGTGGAACCTCCATGGTGGAGCTTGGCCGAAATGACCACCCTCACCATGCATCCTCCTGTTGCAATGCGTGAGTGTGTGATATAATCTTCCAATGATCAAATTCAAGGTCTTTGGTAGGGACATTTTGGCCTGCCATAGCATGTGCATATTTTACTAACTTTTCCCCAAGTTGAAGCAAGATTTTTCTATTAATGCTGTAAGAAATTCTTTTTCTTAATTACACACCTAGCTGTCAGGACTTAGGAGTAGAGGTGGCAATTTGTCTCAAATCTCAATGGGCTACCCATACCCAAAGGGACTTTGGGCGGAATGGGTATTATAATTTGATATTGGGTTTAAAATGGGACATATCCCAATTGTACTCATTAATTGATAGGAAATGTTGGGAAATACTTGGGTACCCATTGGGCCTAAATTTCTCCCTACCCATATTTGGCACCTCTTCATGATATCAATGAGGAGCTTGTTTGTCCTAAACCTTTCGTTTTTTATTTTGAGTAGCCATCCTTCACTGAAGAGAATATCAAGGAGCTCATTTGGCGGGAATCTGTAAAATTTAATCCGGATCCTACTCATTGAGAATGGGACTAATGGTGTATGAACAAGTACTTTGACATGACTTCCACTGAATACTTTGTGTTGTATCCAGAGTGAAATCCCTGATTAGAATCATGAAATAAAACAACGGAAATGTTGAGGCTGACAAAATTTCTACATGGTAGATCTCAATAGATTTTTCTTGTCATTTTCTTTGTATTTTAAATGTTCCAATATTGTACAAAGAAATTGAAGCAGCGCTCACATAGGCTTAACTTACATCCAGGAATGCAATTTCGCTTTGGGTGATCAAAGAGAAGGATCCCTTCTTGCTGCAATCTTATCTTGTAATTTTCTATTCAATTGCATAACTTTAATCAAATGTTTTATGTTATCGAGTATCAAGGCAGCTGAGTAGTTGTCCTAAGAACTTTGCATAGAGTGTAAAATGAATTCATGGAAATATAAATTCACAATAAGACTAAAAGAAATTTAATAAATAAAAAAATTAAAGTTATTTAAAAAATAAAAAATGAATTAAAGGAAAAAAAATATAGAAAATAGATTTGGGTATTGAGCGGGATCAATCTAAACTCATCCCAAAGTGATCCCGTCCAAGTTAGTCCCAAAACACATATGGGTAAGGTTGGTTCTAAACCCATATAACTTGGTTCCATTTCAAATCCAAACAAATTCTGCCCGTCCCGCCCATTTTGCCACCTCTACTTAGGAGAGAACCTTTTCTTAATTTGTTCTTGGGAGAGAAGTAAACAAACAAAATATTCATCCAGCTCAAGCTTTTACTGGATCCAAACGTCTAGATGATACAACTGGTCAAGGATCAGTGGCAACAAACGCTAATAATTTGATTCAGTCTAATTGACTAAAATGTTTTGGCAAGGTAGAGTGTTCTGAAGAAAGGTTTTTGTTTCCAAAAACTTTTGAAGATCTTGCACCAAATACTGCAGACTGCCACCTTTCCTGCAGAAGACACACACATTCTCTCTCTCTATCTCTCTTTCTCTAGAAGAATATAACTCGTCAACTTTTATGGTTTTACCGGGACATGAATGGCACTGCTAATTTGCTCCTCCCAAGTCAAAAATGTCTGCTAGCTTCATCATCCTCGATCAATTCAATCCAAGAACTGGTTAGCAAGATATTTAACCCAATATAAAGGGTCCCTAGCCTGCTGGAGAGTGGACACCCCACTTGACATTCAGTTCATATCATCATGGCTTCCTTTCATAGACTTCTTCTCTTATTTACAATACTCTGCATCTGCACAGCTGAATCCGCAGAGCTTTGGAGTCAGTTTTGCAATCACAATTCTCAAATAAATAGTACCCAGTTGTCAGCAAACATCGATAGTTTATTGGCTGAATTGATGTCAGGAACTGTCCAGAATGGTTTCAGCACCATCTCCTACGGCAAAGCCGAAGACCAAGTCTTTGGCCTGGCACAATGCAGAGGAGATGTGAGCAGCGAAGACTGCTCGAGCTGCGTTGAAGATGCATCAAAACAAATTCGCAAACTTTGCCCAAGTCAATCTGATGCTCGAATTTGGTATGATTACTGTTTTATGAGATATGGTACCAACAAATTCTTCGGACAAGTTGATACATCAGTTGGGATAATCTTCTACAATGTTGAGAATGTAACCGATCCTGATTCTTTCAACAAAGAACTGGTAAGTTTGTCAGATAAGATCAGTTCAGAGGCTGTTAAGCCCGGAAACAAAGGGCTTGGGAGAGGAAAGAAACAGTTGTCACCTTTTCTGACTTTATATGAACTGGCTCAATGCACTAGGGACCTCACGCCGCTTTCTTGCGATCAGTGCTTGGCCATAGCAATTGGGAACTTCCCTATCTTCTGCAATAACAAGAAAGGATGCCGAGTTCTCCACGGTAGCTGCATCGTCCGTTATGAGTTATATCCGTTTTTCTTTCCTCTTGATCCAAAAGAGACCTTAGTCAATATGCCTCTAAAGTACTACCACTCGTCTACAGTACACAACCCTTAAATAAGTTAGATGGTTGTTATATGGAGCGAGTCAGCTCTACACTGAATTGTATGCTCAGTTGTTTCTGTACTGTCATCATCGACAAATCCCTGTGTGACCTCGTTTCCACGATCAATATATATACTCAATAATCTGTCATGCCATTGGCAGGGCAACTGATGAATCCCTCCCTCCCCATACGCAAATTCTTCACTGATGGTTTGCCACAAACGTTTCAGTTTGTCGTGGCAGGCTATGCCACAACATGCGGGTAAAGGGTGGGAATGTGTTTTTATTTATTTCGCTATGGTTGGCCATGGAATACCCTTTCATCACTTCTTCTTTCCCTCCTAACAAAAAAAAAAGACATTGAAATGAAAATATATAAATGAGAAATAGAAAATGCCATTAAAGATTTGGTATTTGTAGTCAAAAAAAGATTTGGTATTTTTGTTTCTTATTTATTTGTTTTATATTTCCCTTCTATCTTTTTTGTTTCTTATTTATTTTTTTATTTTCCTTCCATCTATTTTGTATTTAGAAAAAATTAATTAAGATTTTGTAAGCCAAAATATAGGTTTTCAAAATCATCTCTTCTCTTCCCATAGAGAGAGAAAGAGAGAGAGAAGAAAACAGAAAAAAGTAGCTAAAGGACGAATTTATCAATTTATTAGTTTGATTTTAACTTTTTACGGTTGACCATTAGTTTTAATAGAAGAACAACAATGATATTTTAATGTAAATTATGATAGGGTTATATATCATTTTTAAATCATAGGGGAGTAATGTGATAAAGCAACAAACCAAAGGAGGAGTAAAATGTAATAATAAGGGTTAAATATAAAAAAGCACCTCATGGTTAAGTGAATATTCAAAATAACTCCCCATAGTTTAAAAACATATAATTTAACTCCTTATGGTTTTTTTTTTTTTTTTTTTTTGCAAAACTTCAATTTGTGATTATTGTTATTAACTACTAGATGTATTGAAGATATACACTTTTTTTTTAATAAATGTAGCAATATTATTGATTCGAACCAAAATTTACAATAGTAGCAGAAATTACGCAAACCCAAACCCTATCACATCCTGAACTTCCTAATTGAAGGCACTCCTAGTTTATCTAGCTGGATTGCACCACGAGCCATCTGTGGAATCAGTCGGATGTGGTCATAAACCCTAACCTTATGCTCAGGGTGAGCTACTCCCACATTAGATAGAATATCAGCAACATTGTTCGCCTCCCTGTAACAATGAATTATCCGCGGGGATTCACCCAGCAACTGCCAAATCTGCCCCACCTCCCGCCGAACATGCCAAGGACACTGAAACTGCTTCCGCAGAATCCCCACCAAGACCAAGGAGTCTAGCTGGATGCCCACATTACCAAACCCCTTCTGACCACACTCGCGAAGCCCAATCAACAGGGCCATAGTCTCCGCCCGTAAACTAGAGGTAACTCCTTATGGTTTGAGTTAAAGTGAAATTATTA